ATAATAAATTAAAATATAATAAAATGGAAGAAACTATTAAAACTTCAAAGTAAAAATAAAAACACTTCACTATGCTGACAGGAAGAGATGATCAAAAAAAGTATAAATAAAATATAATATTTTTAAAGGAAGAAAATGAAAGCAGGACCCCAATATTAAACATTATTACAGCTAAATAAAATCGTTTTTAACACAAATTAAGAAACAGTTCTGAAAATATACCAAAGTGACTACAAGGTTTATTTAAAAAAAAAAAAAAAAACTCTAAAATTCAATCATCTAACAAAATGACACCCTCTCACCCCCTGACCACTCAGGGACGCAGTGGCAAGTGTTGCGTTTCTGTTTTAATAAACAAGACAAGGTAAGATCTCCAGATAGGAGTAGATTTTGATGCTCGCTCTCCTCTTAAACAGGCCAGCAGACAAAAGCTCCAGTGAAGCTCTCTAATGGACAGCTCTCATGGCTGACTGGAGATCAGCTCTTCAGTTCCTCTCAATGTTTCATTATGTTCATTGTTGAGGGTTGCGGCGCTCCGACTCGCACTGTACTCTGCTTTTTTTTTGTCAGGCTGATCATATTCCAACCATTTTGGATTGTGAGGAACAGATCAGGGACAATGGAGGCCAGCGAGTTTCTCCCGAATGGACAGATTGTGTTCACAGCAACAAGAGATTCTCCCACCAAAAAAAAATAAAAAAATACTGAAAAAAAATACAGCTCAGCTTTACACACACAAGGAAGCACATTTGCAAAAACAAATTGGCTAGTTATAGAAAAAAATTATACTTAAAGTTAAGGGCTGCATGATAACAGAAATAAAGACAATCACGATTATTTTGCTCAAAATGTTAATCACGATTAACAATGACGATTATTCCTTTGTGTGTGTGTATATATACAGTTGAAGTTAGCATTAATTGCCCCCCTGAATTATTAGACCGCTTGTTTATTTTTTCAGATTTCTTCAACACATTTCTAATCATAATAGTTTTAGTAACTCATTTCTAATAACTGATTTATTTTATCTTTGTCATGATGACAGTAAACAATATTTGACTAGATATTTTTCAAGACACTTCTATACAGCTTAAAGTGACATTTAAAGGCTTAA